ATGGTCCAAAAGTTATTCCATTTACATTGCGCTGTTCTTTAACTTTGCACTATCGCAGTGTAATAAGATTGAACTTGAAATATACTAAATTTCAAACACGCAAGATGATCCAGGCTTAATATTCACTTTAAACTGAAAGATATATCAGTTCAAATTCTGAGACTACAATCTTTTAGACACATTAAAATTTTTAGGGCACACTCTTATCGACTTTTCGTGCTAATTTATCCAATTAAAAAAAAAGATGGTGTTCAACATAAATAAACATCAGGCTGGTGGAGGGAACCAAAGCATTTGCACACTGTGAGACAAGATCTCATCTGGACCAAATTGGATATCTGGGGATGTTTGAACATGAAAATAGCTAACTCAAACGAAGTTTTTGAAAATTTGAAAAAAATTGTATAACTGAAGATCTTGGATCGGCAATGAAAAATTTGAAAATTTCAATGCAGACCATTTTATTGCTCGGAAAAAGAAGTACAGTTGGATACAGACCTAAATAAAATGCTGGAAGCGGATGTGATCGAATCGTCTACCTCTGCATGGTCTTCGCCAGCGTGACTGTACCTATAGGTTATGCGTTTATTTCCGTAAGCTAGCCCGACGCATACCCTCTTCCATACATCAACCATACCATAGACAAACTACGGGATGCACGATTTCTTACCACATTGGACATCAAGTCTGCAAACTGGCAGATTTCTGTCGCCGAATCTTCACGTCCTTTACTGTGCCAAATCAGGGACTCTTTCAATTTAAGCGGATGCCGTTTGGGATTCAAAACGCCCCTGCCACCTGGCAGAGATTGATCGTGACATTGGATGCTTACCTTGATGTATGTCCACCTTTGAGTGAATTCGAAAGAAGAATTGGTAACTATAGATTTTACGCTTAGCTTTAGCTGCTAGTGAGCAATTTACATAAAAAATCCGAGGCTTCCTTTGGAGAAAATAGGAGATGGTTGTTTCTTGTTTTGTGTACAATATTGTAAACACCCTGTAGAATATTGCGAAATTTTAGAAGGATCTTATAATAAGTGTAAGGCGTTCACTAATCACCATTTAGCATGTATCATTTAAATTAATGAAATACGTTTGTTTTTTTTTGACACGTCCATGAGGGATGTAAAAATGGTTAGACTAGTCCATTATTGTAATAAAATATAGTGTCCCATGTCACACGCCACTTTTATGGAGCACCCTGTACATACAAAAATATTTCTGTGTTATGCACATTGTTTTTAACATTTTTTTGTAGCCCTGTCCCAGGTAGAATTTAAATCCACTATCGATGATCGATACATCCACTCTTAATGGACATCGACACTAATTGATAATAATTATATTTTAGACCGGCCCTACCGACAGGTGTGTCTGCTTCCTAATTTTCATTCGTTTTGACGGTCATGTGTTTAATAGCATTTACCAAGAGGATATATTACCAAAATTTTATAAAAATCGCCCCATCAATAACAAACTTAGTTCTACACTTGCGCATATCTATTTTATAGTATGTCTATTAGATTCACTTATTCGAAATTCTTTTTTCAATGTCCGAGTGCTGAGATCTCAAACCCTCAGACCGACGGACGGACAGAATTCACGTAAGTCACGAAAAATACCCTGTTGAATGAATTAGGCATTTGATTGAGCCACAAAAAGAGACAAAAATGAAAATTCAAGCAAATGTATATGGAAGACACAAGTGTAGATACTGCTCAGACGAAAACCTGCATTGGATGGACCAATTTCATACCCAAAGACCGCAAAAAGTAAATTGGAAATATCGTAGGACCATATTTCATAAACTCTGCTCGATATTTGGGACTTTTGCAAGAATTAATGTTCCAGACGTTTGCCGATTATTTCCGAACAATAACGATCCAGATCTACCAGCTTCAGCAGGATGGGGCACTTCCTCATTTTGGAATGAGGTACGGGAATATCTGAATCAAACCTTTCCTGGCAGATGGATTGGGCGCAGGGACACTATGGAGTGGTCAGCTAGGTCTTCCCGCCGCTTGACTTGTGGGGTCATGTCAAAAATTTAATTAACAGAAATAGGCCCCAAAATATCGCATGCAAGGACGTTAGTCGATTATTGCCGAACAATAACAATCCAGATCTGCCCCTAGAATGAAGCACAGTAACGGTGAGAGATACAGTGTAGGTTAAATGGGGGCAACATTTCCCCTTTTTGTGAGAAACAGCGCATTTGAAATTTTTGAAGGTGACTGAGATATCACCGAAAAACTGAAAATGTCAAATTTCGTTTTCGTTACCACCCTGTAAGACAACAATGTGGACGTTATTTTACATATAGAGCGTGTAAACACTGTTTTATAATTACTACATTGGCGATCGCGCATGTCAAATGATTGCGCATAACATCTTTATTATCACTTAACCATTTTTGTATAAAAAGGAGATCACTCTGCTTCACAAGACACTTCTTCCTGTCACGTATTCTTGCAATGATTTCCAGACCAGTGCCTGAAAATTTAAAACGATAAATTCGATTCCCATTCATTTATCTCTTTTTCAAAAATGTCACATGCGTTTTTTAGTCACAAAAGGGGGCAAATTTAACCTATACCGTATCTCTCACCGTTACGGAGATCCCAATGGTCAGCCACGAATTTGAACCACCCTGTAATGAATTGAAATATCGAATAATCTTACAGGACGTTCCTTTTAAAAATATACAAAAATGCTGATTGGGTTCACGTTCACGTTTGGTTTCGCGTCGAACCCCCGGGCCAACTATCGAAATATGATCTCACAACCCGAACCAACTGCCGAAATATGACCGAGCCAGTTGCCGAAATATGATAACGCATCTCGGGCCAATTGCCAAAATTGATTCGGGCTACCTGCCGAAATATTTTTCCACGGTCCCGAGAATTTTCCCAGGCTAAAGTAGCCGTATCTTGTATACCCCGCCCCCCCCCCCCCCCCCATCGACCGTTTCTGGAAATATTGATTTGTTTTTAAATGGGCGGGGAATCGGCCAAAGCCTAAATCTGCTTTACCAACCCAACCCACTATGTATACATTCACAAATATCCATCCCCGAACGCGGACCGGGCTTCTACGCCACTGTGCCACACCGGCTGGGGCGGCGACCTGCGACTTTGTATATTGTGTTAACTAGCAAAACCATTTCGGATTGAAAGAGGGCAGAGTAAATGGGGGGGGGGGGCACAAGCACAGATGCATATACATTAATAACGGGCGTTCAATAATAATGGTTTTGGTCAGATTGCGTGTGTTTGACAGTTGCCACTATAACGTGTTCTTGATAGAACAACTTCCTAACTCAAACAAAAAAAAACGATTTTGACAATCTTACATCCGTTATGCCTAAAATACAGTATGGTTCAAATTCGTAGCTCACAATTGGGATCTCCGTAACGGTGAGAAATACAGTGTAGTTGCCCCTTTTTGTGACTAAAAAAACGCTTTTGAAAAAATTAAAAAATCTTTAAAACCCAAAAACATTTGATTTTTACATTTTTCTTGTAAATTTATGTAAAAGTAGAGAGTGTAACACGTAATTATTTTTCTTTTTTGTTCTCATTCCGTAAAAATCCAATATGGCGTCCATAAGAAATAAGAAAGTAGTAGGCTGTAGCTTCCACATCTAGCGCGATATGAAAATTCTGATAATAGATTCAGACTCTCCGAAAAAAAGTACCTGGAAAAGGTTGCTACGGGAAGTGTTCGTTTCCGACCGTTTAAGGTAGGAAAAATGAAAACGAAATTTGACATGTTCAGTTTTTCTGTGATATCTCAGAAATTTTCAAAGGTTTTTCAAAAATGTCAAAAGTGTTTTCTTTCCCATTTAACCTACACTGTTTTTCTCACCATTAGGGACGGCCCAATGGTGAGCCACCAATTTTATTTTTCAAAAGTTGCTTAAAATGACGATGAAATTTTGATAATGAAACGGTAATCGCAGTAACTATTTGCAGACCAACACGTGGGGGGGTGTCATGGGAACAAAACGATAGCGCAATTCACCGTGTAAAGTGCCTTGATTAGACACGTTGGAAGATACGAATTAAGTTGTAATATCGACGCACGAAAGGACCACAATGAATGGGGGAGGGGGGGATTCATCCGGTCCTCCAACGGCAATTTTGATTTTCTCAGAAAACTTCTAAGCACAATATTTTGGGGATTTGAAGTGCCAATTTTAAGGGTGCCAACTAAATTGATGCTAATAAAGAGACCGAGTTCACTGTACTTCCATCGTAACTTTTTCATTACAAACATCTGTGTAATTGTTCACATTTTGCCATAATTACTTAATCAAGAAATCGATTTCACGGGTGTATAAAATCGATAATTCAATTGCTATGTGAGTGATTAATTTCGAGAGTGCTGCAGATGTTGCGGGTAAAATTGCCGAGATTTTTCCTCGCACATCTTACGTAACGACGTGCATACTTGATTTTTTAATTAAAATCCTCGCTGCTACTGAGAAATTTTTTTCTTTTTGCTAAACGTTTCTTCGAAATTGTTATCTAAAATGTGCTGAGTTACCCGAAAATTTGATTAGGCGTGTAGGGGAACGGCCGAACGATATTGTAATTTCGTCCATTATCTTAATTTAAATTGATGGGTGCCGTTAAACTATTGATGTTTAGGCACAATTGTACAAATGAGCGGGTTGTAAAGTACAGGCGTACTAAAAGTATCTCGTTATTTCCCTCCCAAGTAGAATTCGATTCCATTGTATGTAGACACCTTGTTAAAATGATAAAAGAAAAATCAAGAATTCGTGTGGTAAAAGGACAATGATATAAAACCTGTACGTATAAAAAACGTTTTTTTCCAATTCCTTTTGAATATCTACGATCTTTCACGGTCCAGGCTTCGAGTTGAACAGCATCCGAAGAACAACAATAGTCTGCCTGCCTGCCTGCTTTCCGCTCTCTCCTCGTATTCAAACGCGCCGTAGGATCGCATGTTTTTCACAGCCTGCTATAACAACCTGTAATCTGTGTGGACGTACTTCAGTTCCGCTGACGCTGTCGTAACGTGCTGACGATTGTAATAGAATTACCCGCTCCAGGTGTCGAGCAATGTGTTTAGTACGCCCACTAATATCGGTTTCGTTTAGAAATATTCATCTGGTGGTCGATTGCGGCGGATAATGCCCCTTGTGCGCGATTTGTGATACCGAAACAAACTCCGATGTGTTTTTAAAATAGTCGTTATTTTATTGTGATATTTTTGAACAGTGTAGAAACCGCCTTTCGATGCCGAAAAGAAAAAATCGAAACATGCGCTCCAAAAAACAAAACGGTGAGTACGCGAAGAAGGTGTCGCTCGCTCGCAAACTCGTTTCATTTCATTCTTCTAGCTAGGGAGAAAGTGAAGATTACTTCCTTTTTTGTTTTTTCTCTGTACCATTTCGCGATTTATACACCTCTCGCTCGGGCGGAACGTGCGCGCACTTTTGGATTTTGAACCGTAAACATTTAAGCAATAAGATAAGGGGTTGCACGCAATGTATTTTAATGAGGTATCCCATGTAACAGGTTCTTTTATCTCTTCTATATTGCTACGATTTAATTATGTACATTTTTAATCTTCGTCTTGTTCCCCGTCATTTTTATCACCGGCTTTTAATTATGTACTTAGATATGACGGGCCCCGAAGTGTACCTAATCGAATTATTTGCAAACCCGATATTTTTGCGTAATTCGATAACCCGAATTAAAGATTTATGGGCACGTAGGTCGCTATGGACCATAACTGGCGCGAATTGGACAGTTTGAAGAGCTGTTATTCCAGTCGGTGGGTGACCAAAACCGTCCGAATTTGTTCATAAACTATTGATCTAACAGTATTCAACAAAATTCATGTGTTACTTTGATTTACGGAATTAGGTTTGAAAGTGGCCAAACCAGGACCAAAGCCTACTTCTCCACTCTCCAAACCATATTCCACAAAAATCAGCTTATTTGTGTAATAAAATTACATTCGAACATGTCCCTAATCTTAGTACCTACTCCACAGAGACATAGCTTAGAAATGTGTAAAATATCTCAGGATTAACTACCACTAGGAGGAAAATTGCAACAAGATTATGGAAATATAGGATTCCGATCTACTGCGGAACATTTCTAAAGATTGCGAGGGATTTCTAGCGATTTGTGGGGGAATTTCCAGCGATTTCGCGAATTTTTGTCAGTAGGCAGTTTCGGTTTAAAAATGTTTTTCATAATGATGATGTCACTATTGGTATTGTTAATGAAGGTGAGACAATTGCGCAAAAAAAGGGCTTTGATGAAAGCTTATCGAAAGTTTACCCGCAAATCGATATTAAAAAAAAAAAGCGTAAGTCTCAAAAAGTAGTAACCGTAATTGTCAAACTTAATCATAAAACAATAAATCATAAACAATTTTATTCATAGATAACTTGATTTTTTCAAATGCAATCCTGCAATTTTATTTAGGTATTTTATTGTCTAGTATTTTGTTTAATGCGAAATTTCAGCAGCTTTCTAACGATATAAGGTTATCAGTCTCTATCTTTGGTGGTTTTCTTTTAATCTCGCATTTTTTTACTAATTTGGTGATTTTTTAAAATTTTTATTCAAAAGTGGTCAATAGACCGTGGAAAATAAGCAATAAGCGATTCAAATTATCATAAATATTTACTATAAATTATTACGTAACACTTATCAATCAGAAATTTGAGACAGAACGCAAATTAAAACCAAAAAATAATTATTATGATAAAATGATGACCCCCTTGTTCTATGCGCATGTGACTCATTTCACAAAATGAATTCTACCCTCTGTTGTAACATTTGTGGAGTGTTCCAAATACATTTTTAGCGCATTTTTGCAAATTTATTTGTAAAAAGGTAGCTTTTAATTTCACTTCGGCCGGCTGGCAGCAAACGAGGGCCCATCGGAGGGCCCCTAGAAAAACGTCCGTGTACCTACCGGGGCCGTGTAACTAACAATTGTAGGAACGTGGCTAGTTGTTATGAGGTTGGCGACATCTTGGCGCCATCGCGGAGAGTGATACACTAACATGGGGATTTTTCAGTTTTTCCCTATCTTCTTCTACAGTTTTGGTCTGATTGTGTTCAAATTGGTATCGTCGACATCTTGTAAACGCACACAACTCCTGCGTGACGGAAGTTTTTTTTTCCTAGGGGCAAAATTAATCACCTTTTGCAAGGAGTAGTCGTCTTCGGGCGCCCAAAGCTTCTTAAATCGTTAAAGCTCGAATGGCAGTCTCTCTTTCTCGTGTCTCGAGCTAGGAGAAGTGCCCCAAAAATTAAGTACTATTTTGTGGAGGGTTTTTTAGCGAAATCCTCCAAAATGCGAAATGCGGGTTAACAGGACGTCTGAAGTGGGTACCGACAAAGGAAATGTGATAGTCACCGACAAGATCAATTAACTTCTTGCACTTATAAATGCTCACCTCGTACACGTTTGAGCATTTTTGCTCAAGTGTGTACTCACCTTAATAGAATACTGATCTGCCACACAAAAATGCGCCCTTCGTTCTGACACGATGACTTCGAGAATTTTGTATTTCTTCATATTCTCCACCGTTTATGGTTCTTCCTTGAGATACCCCTCACAAAAAGAAATCAAGTGGAGTTACCTCGCTGACCAACGCGTTGGTCCATCCCTTCCTATCGACGTATTGTTAAAATTGATATTAAGCCATGCACTTACATGATGGGTACGGTGAGCAGGTGCCCCATATTGTTGATACTACGTATATGTATGTCTAAAATGTTAAATGGCATTTTAATAGGTTTAAATGTGTGGCAGTGGGGGTTGATAAAGTGATCGCTTTAACGGCAAAGGCAGCTAAAGTGAAACAAATTATTGAGCATTCCAATGACATCTGTCATTCTTATTAAAAAAATGGGACGAGGAGCACGAAATAAAAGGGAACTCAGAACAGAATATAATATTGTCCCCGTGGAAACGACGGGAGAACCTAAGTTTGCTATTTTGGACATCTTAATTAAATACCTCCAGCTTTTGTAGAAGTTTTATAAATGATTTCTATGGCTTTTGCTATAAAATAAAGTTTTGTGTTATACACGATGATAAAGAGAAACTAATTCAAACATCCCTTCATCGTGTTGTATAATAAATAACTATTATTTTAACGCCAATACAAATAACTATAATAACAGAAAGTATGAGAAATTCAATTTTGCGTGACGCTTATATTTACTTACACACCTTATAATAAAGAAATTCAAACTGGAAATTTTCATAAACCGAGTCATATACAAAATATAACAGAACTAAAATTGAGAACTTTCAACTAACGTGGGAACCAATAATTAATTACATGTCAAAAGTCAATTTTAGAATTTGTTTATTTTTTATGATTTACTAGCCACTTGTCTGAAAAATTAAAAAAAAAGCAAATGAGTAAAAATAGGCGAGATTAAGAAAACCAACAAGCTAGATACCGATACCGATAATCTTATATCGTTATAATTGAGGTTATAATTCTTATAAAGCTAATGGAATTTCGCATTTAACAAAATAAAAAAGAACGGGATTGCATTTGCAACAATCAAGTTATCTATGAATTAAATTGACTAATCGATTTCTCAAAACGCAAAAAGAATTCCATCCTGCCGTCCCGGTCTATATTTTATGATAATTCGACAAAGTCACAGCGTACCTCGCAGCGTACTAAGTTTGACAATTACTCTTTTTAGCGCATGTTTGCAAATTTATTTGTAAAAAGTAGCTTTTAATCTCACTTTGGCTGGCTGGCTGGCTGGCTGGTCGGCTGGCTGGCAGCAAATGTGGGCGTGTAGAAGAACTCTTGTAGAAAGGCAACCGTACCGTACGTGTACGTGTATCTACAAGGCCGTGTAATTTGTAAACCTTGGGGACAGGGCTACATGATGTGGGGTTGGCGACATCTGGGCGTCGTCCTCGAGCGTAGTATACTAACGTGAAGGTTTTTTCCTATCTTCTACTACAGTTTTGGTCCGATTCTTTTCAAATTGGTGTAGTCGGAAAGATGTTGTAAACGCGCACAACTCCTGCGTGGCGGAATTTTGTTTTTTGGCCTAGGGGCGAAATTAACGACCTTTTGCATGGCGCGCGCGCGCGTCTTCGAGAGGTAGTCAACTTCGGGCACCTTTTACCTTCCGTTGCGAATTCTGTCACGCGTTTTAACGTTTCGTAAATCTCGAATGGCTGTCTCTCTTTCTCGTGTCGCCAATAGAAGCTCGAGCAATGAGAAGTGCCCCCCAAAAATTAAGTACTATCTTGTGGAAATGTGGGTGTAATATAAGTATGCACCGAAAAAGAAAATGTGGTAGCCTCTGACAAGATCTAACTGATGGTGGAGAAAAATCTTCAAACGCGAATTGCGGGTGAACGGGACGTCGGAAGTGGGTACCGTGAAAGGGAATGTGGTATCCTTCGACAAGATCTTTTATTCATGCTTGAGTCAAAAGTGGCTAATAGAATACTGATCTGCCACACAAAAATGCGCTGAAGTCCCTTCGATCTCACACGAGGACTTTGATAATTTTTTAAACAATATCGATTTGGGGTTAAATGGTTCGTTTTAGATAGCAAGTGTGACACATAAAGTCACACTAAAATTACCTGAGGAATCTAAATATGCAATAATATACAGGGAGGAAAACTTGGATATGAATCACCCTGTAAGTATGTGGATTCCGATCGAAGTGAAAATATTTGATGTTTGTAGTCTTAAGGGTCCCCACTATGTGCATGGGCCGAAATTAAAAACAAGTTGTAAATCAGCATATGCATGATTAAAGCGCATTTTTGGTAATACAGGTCAGTATTTTATTAGCGAAGTTTAAAATTATTGATCTCACGAGTAATTTTGGCTGCGTTAAATAATTAATTTTATTTAATTTCAATTGACGGTACGTCTTCATTTTGTAAAACAAATCGCAAAGTAAATAATAAGTTTTTCATAGATATATAAATACCTAGATACAGCCATCCTTAACAAACGTACCTCGGTTTTTAAAAAACATATCTAAGAAATTTGTACATCTCTCCATTACTTTCTAACCAAGAAGAAACATGTTCTATCTCTTTTTATTGCATTAACCACTACGTCGTACGCGAATCGGACGCTTAAAACAAACTTAGCGCGTCCCATAAGTCATGTGACAGTTGACACATTTCACGATCCCGCGAAATCAAATCTAACTAAAAATATTCGCCCTAAACATGATGGGCGGTTTTTTCACTAAATATTATGTAATTATTGCGTTATCAATTGAATACGAATAACATTAGTGATTGCC